ATAGTTGTTTTCTTGTCTACTATGTTAGATTACCAACTTTTATTTTCTCTTTCTAGATGTCTAGTATTGACATGACTTTGCAGCGGGACATCATGACTAACTTTGAGCTGAACCTCGATTAAAAGCAACCGGGCTGCAGAAGCAACCTTTCATCTTTTCAACACTTCCCTCTCTCATCAGTGAAAATCTCGACTTGTTGCCGCTTTCTTCGGCACTGAAGACAACTTTATGGCAACCTCGTTTGTTTACGAGAATATAAAATAAAATGTTAATTAAGGAGAAAGACCTGGAATAATAAATGGGTCAGCCCCTACTTTGTATTTGAAATAGTTGGTGAATGTGAACTGATCCACTCTTCAACTTGAGATGATCAGAGTAAAGCACTGTGAAAATCTGTTTGGAACATTTTGTGCTTAAATGTCCTTTTCCCATCTTGCTGGCTCAACGTACAGCCCACTGCTGTGTAAGAAAAGCTTCGACAGACATCCGTATAAAACGCCACGTTAAAATGCTTCTTTGTTTAGTTTGCTGTAACGTGCAGTGTTGTTTTGTTCTCGTGTTAAGTTACCCCACTTGATTAACCCTCACCACCATGTGTCAGTTCATCATCATTCTTAATAAAACATGAGGTACACAGGTATTTAGGGTGAATGTTAAATGCATGTATGCATACTTTCTTTCAGAGAAGGATTCTTGCACAAAGGTAAAGTACAATGTGGAACAAAAAGAAGAAGGACTATGCCAAAGTTTCTAACACAGACTCTGATAAACACAGCTCCTTCTATGCTTGACTGGATTGAAAGATGTTACCGTTTACACTCACTGCACTTTGCTGTTTAGACAGTTCTGTTTGTTCCAAAGTTGTGTTTGGAGATTATCAATATTTTCTGTATGTTACAGTTTGTATATGCTAAAGAATTTTTCTTTCCTCATTTTTTACTTGACATAAATAATAAAGCTATTTTCACTAAGTGATTTGCATCACTTCCCTTACTACACCAGGTTTTAATGCCAGTTAGTGCAGATGGCAGCAACCCTTTTGATACAGATTACTCAGAAGCCCCTTCAAATAATCATTTGATCTTTGTACAGCGGCAGGTTTGTCAACCAATTTTGATGCCTTCATTATACAGATCCAATCACCAGTGGTGCTAACTTTTGCATTTTTAAAGAACAAAATTTCCTACATGTTCTGTGTTGAACTTTCTTTATGATTTCCTTCTAGGTTGATCCAAGTCTCAGATAACCAGAGCAGGACAGGAGCAGTTGGAGTTATGGAAAGTTATTTGTAGTTCATCACTTGATTTCGTCCAGTTATCAAGCAGTGATTGAAAGAAGAGAATATTCTGCTCAAGTCATAGAACTGTAGTATGTGATTGAAGTATGGCCTTGTAAACTGATACCTAGACAGCAAGAATGTCTCACAACTCTGGGGCAGGTGGGGGACAATGTTGGAGGCACCTTCACAAAGTTGTGGTCAAAAGGTCATGTATCTATGGAGCTGCCAACCTGAGAACACAAGGTTGGCCCAGAGGTCTTGTAAAGCAGCAGATGGGTAGCAGAAGGCCAGAAGGGGTGTTGTCAGCGAAAACCTGTGTGGCAGCATTTCAGTTGGCCCAAAAAAAAGTTTTGGCAAGCCGTCAGGCGACTCAGTAAGAGAAATCAAGCTTTGCTCAGGCTGTGCTCAGCAGGGGAGAACTGCTGACACTAACTGAGGATATTGTTGGGTTTAAAGGAGACCCTTTTCATAACTCCTTAACTTAACCGGTACTCCCTTCTGGGGATGATGCAGACTTTCAGGACCCTGAGAGCCTAAACCAAATCCCTGGTCGTGTTCTTTTGAGGTAGTTAAGAGGCGACTCAGCGATATGGGTGGAAACTTTTGAAGTTGGTAGAGGGAGTGCATGTTGATGTGCCCTGGAGGAGGACTACAAGATTTTTTGTAGACCAGGGTATAGGGAGGGTTGACAGCATAGACTGTAAAAAACATGTAGTCTCAGTGACGTCAGCCATCGCTTTCTGAAGAGGGATTTTGAAGACAGGATGGCAGACGCCTCATTGGAAATTATGTCTCTGCCTAACTTTTGATCAACTAAGTCACAGGCAGAGTGGAGTAAAAGTATTGCCTTAGCCTCCTGGGAACAGCTACTACACACCCACCTGTCAGTCAAATCAGCCATGTCTCGAACTATGGAAATGCATGCATGGCGCCATAAAGTGTGTGTCAATTAAGAAATGAGATATTCAGACCAAGACTGTTTTTATACCAGGCTGTAAATATGTTTAATTCTGCTGTCAAAATGGGCATGGTGAAGTGAGGCATCATGGGGCTTCCAGGGCTCGAGGAAACTGCACTTCTTTTTTTTTTTTTGCACTTCCACATTGGCTTCTTTTTTTAATACGAGGTTGCTGCTTGGTTAAGGGTCCACCTGTGGCTTACATAAGCCCTCAAATGCAGTTGGGTCTAAACATGGTTTTGTTGTCTTGGCTGTGATGTCTGTTTAGTGTTGCAGAAATGTCAATTGTACCTGCAGAATGGGAGAATAATGTGGTGGCACCCATTTTTTAAAAAGGGAACAAAGGAAGGATTCTGCTGCTGTGAAAGTGATGCAACAGGCCTTTGTCCTTACAGGCTTAGTTGACGGGTCATGAGTGATTGTCAAGCCAGTCTAAATGTCTTTTGTGGATTTGGAGAAGGATTACAACCATTTCACTCCAGGGAGTCTAGGGGGATATAGTATGAGTATGGAGTAAAATGTCGGTTCTATGAGCCATCAGGTGCTTTTTTAATCTGAGTGAAAGCTAAAGCTGTGTCCATATTGTGAGCAGAGTCAAACATGGTTTCTGTGATCGTCAGGCTTGACAAGGGTTATCTCTTGTAAGAATCTAAAACATTTATTTTCATGCAAAGGTTGTCAAGGCACAGCCATGGGATGCTTTGGCTTCATCAAGCTACGACCTTCCACACATTAGGGGTTGCATGACTTCAGATTGTTGTAAGTTGACAGTCGTGATAATAGTGGAGTCGATGTCTAATAGCCGCTGATGACGTTATCAATAAAACCACCAGAAGGGAATGTTTTGCAACCAGCAAAAATATGTACTTGCAAAACTCACATGCTGTTGAAACCTGACAGTTAATACATAAGAAACAGTAGGATGCAACAGCTGCAGTAGAGTATGCAACAATAACATGTGTGCTACCACATCCATTTAGGTTAGTGCATAGAAAAATTAAAACTTGGGAAAAAAAATAATTCAGGTAACAATAGAGTTTTTGCCGACTCACTATAGGCAGAGTTTTATCCTGATTTTTTTTATCCTGGTATTACGACTAGTTGACATCAGGCATGAAGGATCATCACACAGCTGTAAAGTTGACTAGTGGACTAGTCTGTGCAACCCCTACCACAATGCGAGCTTGGTTTGCTTTAGAATACAATCATAGGTGGATTAGATCGGTGTCAGCAGAAATGGTCGGCTTTTAGCAGAACATTGTGGTGGAGAGAACATTAAGCCGCATGCCAAAGCTTTTGATTTATGAGTAATCCACAATCCAGCCCCTCATACATGGTCATGAGCCCTCGGTGGTGACAGAGAGAATGAGATTGTTGAACAAGTAGGCAGATTTTGTTATCTCCATAGGGTGGATGGAATCAACATTTTGAAATGCTTAAAGAAGCTCAAACATACAGAGGAGGCTTGAACAGAGTCTCTGATCCATCTCAGGTATGGGCATCTGGATTGATCGCTCTTATGCATTTTCTTTTGGATGTTGTACGCCCAAAATCCTACTGGAAGGAGTGGGGGGGGGGTCGACAACAAAGTGGAGGGTTTTTGTGTTATTGTTTTGGAAGGCCTCTTGGATCCTCACAGAGGACATAGAAAACGTTGCTGGAAAAGCTCTGTCTTAGCTACATTGTTTAACTGCTACCAATAGTTACTATCAGGCCTACTAATAGTTTAATCACACCTTAATATTCTTAGACATTTGTACTCTCTCTAAAATTCTGCATCTTAAATAATAACAAACCTCATTTGTAAGGTTGTTTGTCTGCAGCCTTCTGGATGAAGTTAGCCAAATTAACTTTAACATGATATCTTCAGAGGCCACGAGACTTGGATCCCTTACAATTTTAATGTAGAAAGTAGAAGATCATTCTGTCATATCATAAAAATTATTTGTTTTCAGCACTGAGGCAGTTTTTAAGGCAGGTCAGCCCTTGTGTTTTATCGTTTTACTGTGCTTTTTAATTATTTAAGTTACAATATTACTTATTTATGAATTCAGTTGTTTTGCCCCATTGTGTAATAATATGGGCTCAACTCTAAAGAGCACATATAGGTTTTTATTAAATGTCAAGTTCTTCATTTTTAGATAACACTGTTCATGCAACATGTGAAAATAAATGCCTTCATAAATGAAATAAAATATACTCTAAAACACACAGACATAAAATAGTGCAGCGGTAAAAGATGTGTAGCCTAATCTGTTATATTTCCACTCACGTGATGGATTAGGCTAATCTTGAATTGGTTAACTGGTTTATAAGCTTATGTGTTATCTTGTCTCGACTTGTGCTTTCTAACAAAGCAATAGTTTGGTTTAAAGGGCTGAATAAAAGCACACCTGTGACCACATTACATTGAAATACATTACAATATTAATGCGCTGTCTGGAAAACACCAGTCACATATGATTGAGTCGCGTAGAAGCCACATATTATTCTAAAACTGGTTGTAAAACAATGAACATGAGAATAAGTATTCCATTGATTGACTGTGAAGAAGAACATGCTGTCTTTTTTTAACCAGTGTTGTTTTCATGAGCGGCGTGCAGCCCCGGAGCTTTGCAGTGATTTTCAGGGTTTTCTCTGCCTAACAGCGCCTCTTAGCTGTGCTCAAATCACTGTAAATCACTGACTGCATTGACAGGCTTATTGCTGGATTTCGGACTTGCCTTGTATAGTCAACAACACCGACTCCTGCTAAACAACCAGTGCTGTCACACGCAAGCGTGAAATCTGACGTGATGCTCCAGCCACCGTCCCATTCAAACGTTTCTCGGGATCCTCCCTTCAGACAGTCGTGCGTATGCGCTGCTAACGGCACAGCGGCATTGTCAGAGCAGTATTTGAACACAAGCGACAGATTAACAGAGAGAAATCAATAGGTAACTTGGTCTGGATTGATTTTTTTCTGCGGCAATGTAAAGATGGCGAGAGTGCTCCACAACTTGCTGTTATTTCTGATCAGACTTGCGCTTAAAATCAGAGTTTTGGGGTATTGGTCGCTTATATACGGTTATTGTGGTCTGTGCACCGTCGTAGCCCTCCTGAAACTTTGGTGGAACATCGTCCTGAGGCCGACAACAACCTTCCAATGGGTGACTCGTGAAACTCCCCCGGCTTGTCTGAATGACACGTCCTTGGGAACCCACTGTTATGTTAGGATCAAGGTAAGACACTCGTGCACTTGGACATGAAAGGTGTCTGTTGACTGTGAGGGGGGGGGGGAGTCCATTGTGTGTGTGTGTGTGTGTGTGTGTGTGTGTATGAGCCCCTCTCGCGAGCTACGATGCTCAGATGTAAAATGCTACAACACCTTGTTTTGCAGTGTCGCGTCGTGAAAAGACAAACAGGCCTGATGTGTGGTCATATCATGAGGCGTCTGTTGATTTTTGAGACGTTTCTCGGTGGCATCGCGGTTTGCTGGCGCTGCGCTCAGGTGGTGCTGAAAGAACAGCTCCTCCGCCTCTACATGCGGCGGGCTGCCAGCCTCCTAACTAAACAACCTGTGCTCAACATTATGTAATTAAATACCAAGGCATGCCTGTCACTAAAACATGTCGAAGCCTATATTGTCTGTGCAGGGATTGGCTATATGAATTTGAAAAGTGAAAGTACAAATTCTACATTATAAAAACCTTATTTAAGAAGTCCTGCGTTTACAATAAGGGGGGGGGGGGGCACGTCAAGTAACCAACCGTACATAAAGTACCGAAAGTGTTCACAGTCTGCAGGGAGACCCCTGACATTGTTATAAAATTAGACTATATTGGTTATTAATTTGAACTGTACAGTTAATTATATTCATATGTTGCTGGTCCAGTACAGGTTCATTATTTCTGTTACTCTGTTGGACATTTTAAAGTATTATTGTGCTTTTTTCGTATCTAAATCTTGATATTTGAGTTAACTACTTACAACTGCCATTTGGTAAATCTATTGCAGTTAGAGGACAATATTCCCCTCTGAAGTTTGATGACAGAAGACCAAAGTAGCAGAAAAAAAAAAAATCATGTATTGAACAAGAAGCTTAGAGCTGTGCATGAGTAAGAAAAACCTACACCGTGTTTCCATGCAGGATCAACAATTGCCTGTAGAAAAAGGCTGTAGCAAATCAGTTCTGTTTAATTCTATGTCTGATTCTTATCTGATGCGTGTGGATAGACAGACTCTTTTTTTTTAAGTTGGTTAAAAAAAATCAGATTTTCTTGGAAAGCTTAATGAAGCAGCAACAGACTCACAAGACAGTGACTTTGCCAGATAATTGTATTCTCATTATCTTTTGAGTCATAATCTCCACCAGTATTGTTTTCCTGATTACTGCTACATTAAGTAATGGACATTCAAAAATGCTGATTTGTTCTAATCTGTCTTCAAAATGCCAAAGGCTGAGACTGTCAGCTAAAGTCTTTTTTTTTTTTTTTTTAAATGCCATTGTCTCTTCTTCCTCCCAGGAGTCTGGCCTCAGGTTTCACTATGTTGCTGCTGGAGAGAGAGGAAAGCCACTCATGCTGTTCTTACACGGATTCCCTGAGTTCTGGTAGGTCACAGGGAAATCAGGGTGGGGGGGCAGTTGCGGTAACCGCATTAGTGAGCTCCACTGCACTCAGAACAAGCAGACAAGTCAACTGTAAAACTCTGCTTGTTCAGCTGCCTGGTATTTGTTACGTCGGTCACTTCTCTTAAAATTCCCATGACAAAGAGAATTCCTTGGCTCTGAGGTTTCAGGTTTAATCCCTGTCCGCCTTGAGGGCTGCAAAAAAATAGAGAAATAATAACCCACTCCAGCCAGGGGGATATGAATTAATATCAGGAGAAAATGGTCCCGAGCATTCAAGATCTCCTTCCTCTGATATGACATGATAAATGGGGTAGAGTATTGCTCCTGGATTGGGGCCAGAGGTTGTCAAGAGCTGTAAGCCTGTCCATATCTCTGACATACCATCTAAGCTGCAGACAGAACTAAGATTAATTAACTGTAGAGGCGAGCTCTTTCTGCTTCACTTGCTGTGTATTCTTCACAGGAATGACGAACAGTGATGAGAGTGACATGGGTGGAAAGAACTCTTCACACTTACTTAATATGTGCTAATTCCCTCTTTGAAATGAGAAGTGTATCTGTGCATCAGAGGGAGGGTGGAGGGGTCCGAGAGGCTTACTTTGCTTTAAACCTCATCTATATTCTAAGATCGCGGTTGAGTGCAGGGATCTTATACTGACTCATCAGAAATCACAGTCAGGGCTCTGCATCTTTCTTCCCCCCCCTGTACGGCTGAGGAGGAGGGGGATTTCAGTCCTGATGAGGAGCCTCTACAGAAGAAAAGATCTTCAATTAGGAAGTCAGCCGAGCCCACACTATCAGGGGGCGGTTAGAATCTAAAACAGCTTCTGTATACTGAGGTGACCTTCACCTTTTTAAGAAAGTAAAGTTTTAGCTTTGAAAAGAAGTTTGTAATATTTGTCTGAATGTGTATGGTATGAGTTTATAGAGGCACTTAAAAAAACACTCCACTAGTGCTGGACATAATTTTACGAGGGAATTCTGCTCAGCCTGTCAAACACTTGCATAATTTGTGACTCTAACAAGAGATTACATAAATCCTTAAAAGATGCCCCAGTTTGTCTTGAGTCTGAGCTTGCAGACTGAAAGTGTTTAGCTGAAAGTCTTTGTTGCATACAAGGGATTGGAATTTGAGTGGCTCCACGTGGGAATGACAGAGGACACCCAATCAGATTGCATCATGGGGGTTAAGGGAACCAGTGTTTTGGGTGGCTGGACCCGAGGTTTTGTACTTAGAGTATCTAGACTTTTGCTGCATTGATTTGAATTCTGTTTTTCATATGGAACAAAATATTTGAAGACTGTCTCTTTAAGTTAAATAAATAAAAAAGGAAATATTTTTTCATGTTTGTATCTGTTTGTGTGCCTCAGGTTCTCCTGGAGATACCAGCTGCGAGAGTTTAAGAGTGAATTCCGTGTGGTGGCCATCGACATGCGGGGCTATGGGGAGTCAGACTTGCCGCTCTCACCTGAAAGTTATCGCTTCGATCACCTGGTCACCGACGTCAAGGACATCGTGGAGTACTTAGGTGAGCAAACACTGGAAAAGTGTTTCTGTCTGTAATCAAGAAAAAAACCTCAGAAGTGTGTTGAGTGAAAAATGAAGTTGTTTATCAGTCTTAAGCTGTGGACAGCCCTCAGGCCTGCAGCCTGGCATGACAAACTTCCTGTGAGTCATTCTTACCAAACATGGGACATTGTGTAGATATAGAGCCTTCAGCCGGCTGACTGCATGCTAACACTAGCAGGAAGCTAGCCTGAGGCAGTCTGCTCACACCAGCATCCACTAATGATCACTTGGCCAGAAAGATATTTTTTTTGCTCTTTTACTGGCCAACAAATCACTTTCCTTTAAACTCACAGACTTTACACGATAAGCAGTCTGAGCATTGAAATGTCACTGAAGATTGTCTAATGAGTTCATGTACAGTAGTTAGAGTCTGGTAGCTCTATCTTTGTCCTCTCCTTCACACTTGTCACCTCATATTCAAGTGTGTTACAGCTACTGTTTCAGCACTAATTACAAGATTGCTGAAATAATTTAGATGGTCATGTCCTGACTTTGCTACACATACACACTGTCCTTAGCCTACTTAGTTGCATAATTTGCTAATAGATGATTGAGGTCCATTATAACTTGCTTGCTTGTTTTAAAGTTTGTCCATCCTTCTTATCAACATGATTAAAATAAGATTAAACAAGTTTATTGTTGCCAGCTATCAAAAAAAGGAGCATACTAAAATGCAGTAGGAAATGTTAATGGTCAAACAATCACACAGGTTTCAAACAATCCCCATGGTAACTCCATTTTTGGGGGAGGTAAATCTGGAAAATAGTGATATTATTACTGCTGCACATAACTCAGTGCTTACAGTTGTTATGAATACCATAAAACGTTGATTAAAAGCCCAGGCTTTTATATACTGTTCTCTAAAATGACCCTTCCTTCATTGTGAACAGGCGTTAATACAAGACGGGCCTTTCATTGTTTTCAAATAAAACTCCTGCACAGCAAAGATGGGAAAGACGATAAACTTGTTATTATTACACCAGAAAGAATATTTAACTCTGCACAAATGAGGATAACAATAAACAAATTCAGACAAAAATCACTCATTTGATCTTGATTTTTAAGGCAGTACGCCGACCTGCTGCACGGCTGGTACACATACGAGCATCATTATGTCACTCTCTGTTGCCTTATTAAAGATGTAGCAACAGAAGCATTAATGTGAGTAACATTCAACGAAATGATCTGAATGTAAAAGATGAATTCTTCTCTTTTAATTCTTGTGACTTTATATTGCTAGCTGCTTTACTTTACCGTCTGCTGGTTGGTGCTGAATGTTTCTAACACCTGGAAAAGAGCAACGATGAGAACAGTCAGGCTGGATTAAAACAACAAAGCTCTGATTCAGACATTAACTTGATTTCTGAGTTTAATTACCACAGCTATGAGCTGAAGATGCTCAACAGGAAATTTCTTTTGTATCAGTACTTTTCACATTATAATTGGGTTAATCAGAGGGTTTGATTTTATGTCAAAAATGAGTTGTGCAGCCGAAGTTGATCCATTTGAACCCAGTGGAGACCGAAGGCATCATAATGGTCCACTTTAATGGTAAAATAATGGTTAGACACATAATAGTAAGTATTCATGAGCAGTTTTTGAACCCATTCAACATGAAAAATTCACATTGTCTCAATGGTGCTTATGAGAGAGCTCTATAGTTAATGCTTTGTAGCTTTTTCCATTGTTCTAGCTGTCACTGTTAATTTCTTAACAGGCTTTCGGGAGCTTAGCACTCAATAATGCATCAAAGTTATTTTAGTGAAAGTGGGAGGCCAGCGTTTATCATACTTTAAATAATGGGCTCTGATTTAAAATTGTACTACACAACTGTTGGAGCCCTCGTGGTCTTCTCACAGTTGTTAACCGGACATTGCACATCCCATTTTCTTATTTCAGTAAGAACTATCAGATCAATTCAACTAGATGAAGCTCTATTTTTGCAGAGCCTTTCATACAGACATGCAGAGCTTCATTTAGCAAGAAAAAATGATTCAGATGGAAAATGAGTATAGAATTTTACAAATAATGGTCATGAAAAAAATAAATCAAACAATCAAAACATTTTATGAGAAAAATAAAATAAACACCAGAGAATTAAATATGTAAAAAATAATAATGATACAAACTCTGACTCGTGTTCCAACATCACTCCATATGTAAAACCATACTTTAAAGATGTGTCTTAGTATTCTCTTAAAGGTCACATACCATCCTCCTTTTCAACCAGTTAAAATAAGTCTTAAAGCTTTACAACACATATCTGTGAAGTTTTTAGTTATAAATGTACTCTGATCCTGTATTTGATAATGACTATAAACCCCTCTATCTCAGCCCTGCTCAGAACAGGCTGTTTCTGTGTCTGTACCTTTAAATGTAAATGAGCTGTGTCTGACCACGCCCCTCTATAGAAGGGAATGTGGCTTGGGATTTCTTGCACCATACCCTGTTGTTTACGGTGAGAAGGCAGACTCAGAGGGCAGAACAAACACCGAGCTGTTGGAGTGTCACCCACCTTGTGATGTCATAAAGGAAAAATCTCCAAACAGCCTGTTTGAGCACACATTTTCTGAATAGTGGAGCAGGCAAAAGACGGAGAGGATGGACTTTTCTCATAATTGGGGGTTTATAGACAGACTAGGGACAAATATTAGTGTTAAAAAAGCAAGATAAAGTGTATTTTGCATCAAACGTGACCTTTGAAAATACAGAGAGAACTTTCCACTCCAGTACCTTTACATGTACTTTTATGGGACGTATAAAGAAATTACAAGAAAAGGTTTCGAGGACATTAGTGATCTGGTTCAACTATTACATTTAAAAAAGTAAAAAACTGATGTGGTTTCCTCAGTTGTTGATATGTTTGATGAAGAAATTCGCCATTGAAACCTGACTTGCTTTTAAACTTGCTTTTAAATTATTTATGAACAAGTTGCAGCATCACTGAACACGTATGCCCAGGAGAGTCATGAAGCCAATAATGATCCCTCGCGAACATACAGAAACTCTGGTACTTATGGACACACCTCACATGAGAACAACATATGGACATCTGTTTTACAGGACCACCCCTCTCTATACAACTGTGGGGGTTTCTGTCTTAGATATATGCATGTCATAAACTCAAAGGACAACACAGGTTACAGATCCAATCTCTTGTCCAGATGTGGTCTCCACATCCTTAAGGAGTTAACCTATGTCCCAGGAGTTTCAGACACTTCAAACACTTCAAAACTATTTTATCAATGATATGGCAGTGTCTTAATCTGTGGGGAAATATTGTTTATGTTCTTTTTTTAAAGTGTTGATTTTTGCAGCATCATTCTCAACAAGCTGAGGTTTTTCAACAATCCAGTTAAAAGAGGATAACTATGCTATATATGGACGGAAGTTAAAGTGTAATTGAGCTCCTTTAGGATTGATTCTAGCAGTGTTTACAGGATGTTTTTTTTAACAAATGAGAAGGTAAATGTATGCTCATATCAAACACTTGGAGCAGTAAGAGCCTTAGCTAAATATCTGGCCCTTTAAGAAGCATGTGTAATATCAACGTTTGGAACGGGGCTTGCTTGTATGATTCATACCAGTGGCTGTTAATGGTGCTTCCAAAGGAAAGGGGATTAGATTATAGTTATTGGCAGTAACGTGTTCAGAATTCTTGAGGCAGATGCTCTGACCTTGATTTGCATTTGGCTGTATGTCATGAAATACATCCATTTGATGGGTGTAAATGTCCTCTGAGGGAGTAAGCCAGCAATAAAGACGTGAGAACAGTATTGATTTTTAGGGCACTGACATGCTTTAATAAACAAACACAAACATCAGAATGGACGTGCTGTTGTGTTAACATTAACAGACAGCTGTCTTCTTCTACTACAACAATAATGCAGAGTCTCTTGTGGTTTTGCTTTTCGTCAAAGGATACAACAGATGTTGCCTCGTTGGCCACGACTGGGGAGGAACCGTAGCGTGGCTGTTTGCCATTCATTACCCAGAGATGGTGACGAAGCTCATTGTTCTCAACTGTGCCCACCCTTCTGTGTTCGCAGGTAAGATTTCTCTATGAGCAAACACAGGCACTCTCAAATCACATTTTGTTTGTCATGAAAGGAAACCATGATTGTTCATGCTAATTAGAGAGCCTCTGGTTTGGCTCTTAGATTATTACCGTAATTATTATCATTAATTAGGAAGTATTGTTACTTCAATTCAATGTATGCATCCATCTGGCAGTTCCTCTTCTGCCTTGAGGGAAAGAAGATAAGAAGCTAATTACAGGAGGCTAATGTGGAGTTAGAACAGCTGGTTTAGCTGCTGCAAACCGAGAGGCAAAGTCATTGACAGTTACCACATACACGACCTCACAGCGTGTGCAGAGTTGGCGTTAAGATTAATATTGAACTTCTCTCTCTCCTCTCCTCTCCTTCAGATTACGCTCTGCGTCACCCCAGCCAGCTGCTGAAATCCAGCCATTTCTTTTTCTTCCAGCTGCCCCGCTTCCCGGAGCTCATGCTCTCCATCAATGATTTCAAGGTGGTCTGTTGTGTGTGGGCTTAAGCGGTTTCAAGGTCAAGGTTGTGTGTGTTTGCGTCTTTGTGTGTGTTGTGTGTGTGCATGCTCGGTGTTTATATGCATGTGCATCGGGACTATGTCGCATGTTATTAAAGTGAGAGGCTATTTTTAGTGTTTGCATCATTGCCACTTAAAGCAACCTGCTGTTGGAAAGGTCAGATAAAGGTTAGACGTAGTAAACAAAAGGATGCACTTATTCTCTACACACTAAGAGTGCAACAGAAACATTGAATGAAACTAGGCAGAATGTTGAATTTTCCATCTCAACTTTATTGTTGTTCAGGGTTAAAATGAGCCCTTTTAAATGAGTTATATCATAAATATTGTAACTCAAAATCTCAATGTAAAATGCAAATCTCCCTTAAAAAGGCTCCAAGGCAACCTGTAAGGTTTGGGTAAGATCATAAAGCGTTTATTTAACATAGAAATTACCATTTAAAATACTCTGCATCTTGTGTCTAACAAAGCTTTACCCCAAGGTCATTGTCGACAGGAGCTTACACCCCTGTAATATGTTACAATAATGAATGGAGTGGGAGGATGGGTACCTATCAATCTACGAGCCTATTGGTAAAAAATGAGGAAGTGATGCATCATCAACGGCAGGAGGAAAAAAGGATGGCCGAGAAGGAGAGGGACTCAAGGTAGAAAGGAAAGAAGGAAAAGGAAGGGATGGACCTCAATGTTCAGAAGAAGAGATTTATCACGTTCATACAGAATGAAGGTTGAATTGATCGTTTATTCAGCTTCACATGATGAAACCTATGTTGTTGGCAACACATTGGTTGTTTTACATTCATTTGGTTGAGTATGACAAAGGGCTGTATAATTCTGCACAGACCTTAAAGTGTGTCTTGGTGTATTTTTGGAGAATATTTGCATTTTACATTTTTGACTGAGGTCATATTTTACACATGTAATGAGTGTTTCACAAGAGGGAAAAGCAGAGCAGGTCCGAAGAGCACTTACGTATATAATGATTTTAAAAACCCTGCGGTGCCTTTTCACTGTTTTTTTTTTTTTTTTTAAAGAAGCTGTTTTATTCCTTCTCCATTAACATGAAAAAAGTTACCACTCTAACATTTGTCAGTAAAAGGAAGTGACAGCCAGCAGCAGCTTAGCATATTGACTGGGAGCAAGGCCAAATGGTAAAAAAACAAACATGTAATGGCCTATGTGTTTGCTCAAAGCAACCTCCCCACAAAACTGTTCTCTTTTTTATGTGAAGCTTAAGACGAACAAACTGTCTGCTCATAGTCATCCTCAAAAGTGTTGAACCATTTCTTTCCTTGTCTCAAGGCGATTTGAAAGGGCTTCTTTAAGCGTTGCCAGGCATTTTTAAATGTCATCTTATGTTGAAGTGTTCACATTTGATCATATTTGCCAATTGAATGCAAGATTTCATAATGTTCCTCTACCCCTGTGTTGGCGTTTTAGAAAGTTAAAGCACAGCATGTAATGTTGTCAAGCCAGCAGTAAGTCCGGGTGCCAGAGCTGTGACCGAAGGTCATCAGAGATGATTTAAACACGAAGGAACATTTTCTGACTCATATTTCAGTGACACTGACGTCCTTTTTTTTTATATAAATGTGTTCCAGTTCAAATTGCACCAGTAACATAAACTCACCCCAGTGTTTGCTGCTGTCTTTGCTGCAGGCTCTGAAGGCCTTGTTCACCAGCCGAAACACGGGGATTGGAAGGAAAGGTCGATGGCTCACTGCAGAGGACTTAGAGGCCTATCTGTACGCTCTCTCACAGCCGGGAGCTCTGACTGGAGCCCTCAACTATTACAGGAATGTCTTCAGGTGGGGAATAGTTTCACAGAAGAAGGACTGAGTCAGTGTTTCGTTAGTATAGAAATTTAAAGCAGCACAGGACTGTTCTAATCCTTTACTTTAGTGAAAGTATGAATGCAGCATTATGAAATACTCTCAATAAAGTCAAAGTATTGACTATTTTTTGAAAAAATCTTCTGGTGCGAAAAGTGAAATCCCTCGGGATGTTATGCTATTATATTTTTTTAAAGTTGTATTTTACTAGCTTAGTATTCTCTTAAAAAACAACCCTGGAGTAGCTCACCTTTAAAAAGTACATCATAAGACATGCATTTTACTGAAGCTTCTGAAACAGGCTTGCTGTTGCCATAGGAGACCATTTCAGTTTGACTGCGGTACTCTGAGATGCTTTTTAGTAAGTGTGTGTTTGGTCATCTTAATAAGCTCTTGTACAATCTGATGAAAGAATCACTTGCTGAGCAGTGAGTTTGTACTTTTCAAAACGTTTTATCATTTTATTCTTAAGAAATACGTGATGTTGTTGAATGCTAATTTAGTAGCGCCATCTGCTGTCAGAGCTGTGAAGTGAAGATTTAAACCTGACCCTTTACTCAGGTCAAAGGAAGAGGAAATATTCATATACTCAGGGTCATTCTCGCACGTTAGACGTGACTCGCTGGCCAAGAGTGATCGTCACAGATCAGATCAAAGAAAGTATCAGTGCATGCATTTTTAACATGTGAACTGTGAATGCATGGCTGAGCACGCCATCTGCTCCCTTCTCAAGCAGGGAGTTATCTGAGAATAGCTTTTATATGCTTACGTCAAACAAACATCACTGACCCATGCTCAATTAGCTTCTCCACAAGAGCATACTGTATATAGGCACGAGGGACATAAATACACAGAAACATCCATCCGTCCCTCTTACTCGTCCTGGCCAGAAGGGCTGAAGCATTTTCCTCCACATTCTTACAGAGATGTAGAGCGAACTGAAATGTGTAATATGAAACACAGATTAAGTCGGCTGTTCAGAAGTTATTAATTCATATGCTGCATTAGATTTCTATGATCATGATGATGCAGAGGGTTGTTTCCATCTACCTTTTTTGATGCACATCCCAATTTGTGATTAAAAAGTTCCTCTGATATCTTGTGATATCTGCCTGCTTCCTTCACTGAACGTAGGAAATTATAGCCAGGATGCCTTTCTACATTTGATGCCTCAAATCCACCGAGAAGCTAAAAAAAAAAGCTTACGATGTAACGATGATGTTGACACAAGCTAGTAGAAAGTTACTGATTCAAAATAAGTCACAAAAGTAAGTTAACAATTGGAAAAAAATATCATCGCTAGGAATCTTGCAAGTACCAGAAACAAGAAAGGGTCATAACATCCTCGATGATTGGCAGCTCTGAACAGAATCAGTCTGTTGACTCGACACATCAGTCATAACTTGTTTTTTGATTTCTAGTCACAATTACTTGGAGCTCAATGCTGACTAAAGCTGATATTATATTCTATTCTATAAACCAGTGCTTATACGTAGTTCACCCTGTGTGATTTATTTTCTGTTTAAAATACCTAAAATATCAACATTAGAATTACGTTGTCTTTAAGAAACATCTCACACCAGAAACTGACTCTGTTTTGTCCCTTTCTCTCCTTAGCTCTCTTCCCCTGAGCCCGAACCACGTCAGGTCTCCAGTGCTGCTGCTGTGGGGGGAGCGAGACGCCTTCTTGGAGCAGGAAATGGCAGAGGCTTGCCGCCTCTACATCCGCAATCATTTCCGTCTCAACATCATCTCTGGAGCCAGTCACTGGCTGCAGCAAGACCAGCCTGATATTGTAAACACCCTCATATGGACCTTCCTCAAGGAGGGAGAGGGACGCAAAAGCTACAGGAACTAAATCCACAGAGAGGCCTCCTCCAGCCCCCCCCCCCCTCACTTGCCACACCTGGAAGCCTGGAAAATGCCTGTGATACCAAGCAACATAGTGATAATGCAATCATTGTTTTAATCTTTCACATTTCAGATATTTTTTGAAGAGGTCAGCTGTACAGGAGAGAATCAAAGCACACTTCAGTGGAGAGGACACTGGGCCATATATATATATATATATATATATATATATATATATATATATACATATATACATACATATGTGGCACACATTCAAAATATTTTTTTGCACATGACATCCGCCTTAAAGTTTGTCAGTTACAGCATTACAAATGTGTGGCGAAATCTCCTTGTGACTTGTATTGTGTGGTGCCTTTTGACTTTCAAGTTGTGGCGGTGTAAAGATGTCTGGAGAGACTGGGATAGGGTGTCGTCTGCTGTACGTGTATGTCTCATGGGGTCGCTTCTTTGGGCACAGTCCTTTGGGAGCAGAACGCTCCACATCCCTTTATCAGGTAGTGTTGTCTAAGGAAGGTTTCTTTTTGTATCTTTCTCCTCAGAGATACCTGCTGAATTATAGAGAATGTTGTTATCTTAATCTTTATGTATAGAAATGTCAGTGATGGTTGACTATGGTTGTACTATTTTGTATCTATTCCTACACACTGCATTTTGAAATCCACTGAGCCAGATCTACACCATTTGATTTTATAAATAAAACTTGAGTGTCAAACTGTTGGACTACACTTGCTCTTTTAAAAAATCACTGGCCTGTTTTTGGGATAATAATAACAGTGGTGTGTTTGAAACTGTGCTGCATGCAACCATGTGTTTGCCTGTGAACAGCCACTCTGAGCTTTTACACAGAGGAGATAAAAAATAACAGAAATAGTGATGAGTGTACTGTTAAATATAGCACAGAGCGGAGTGACACAAGAGTCGATGATGGTTATTTTGAGTCTACAAACATTTGGAAATCATGTTTTTTTTTTTGTTTCTATTTATGCCTTATATTACCCCTGTGGCCATATTTCAACAGAGACTCTCATGTGGAATTACACTGAGGTTTGTATTTATCAGTCTTATATAAACCGCACACAACCTCGCACACATGCACTGCTGAGCTATTTAAAGAAGAGAACATTTGGGTAATACATGATCATGTCTGTTTCAGACCAATAGGAGCCTTCTAGAGGATTTATTGTTTTTATTCACTCTAAGGATGTAGCATGAGCCAAAGAAAAATCCATCCTATTTTAGAGCGGATTTGGATCTGATTCATGAACAAGGCTTCAGTGGAGGTCCACGCTCTTCTAGTTCTTATTTTTAGACAAGCACCTTTTTATGATTCGACAAAGTATCCCAGATAGGATATGATAGAAGTCAGTTCCTCACATTTCCTTTTTTTTTTTTACATCCTGGCTTCATTCTGCTCCTTATAAATGTCTAAATGTTTGTACCATTGTTAGTATTCTTATTCAGCTATAAATCACTTATAAGCCCTCAACTAAACCAGGAGTTTCAAGTTAACACTATAGAGGATACCTTATTGGAAATATATAAGCTACTTGTGTTGTTCCAGATTGCTTATTCTTCGAGCTCACTATTTAACCTTATTTGACATCTTTTGTGTGTGTGGCTCCATGGTGCTGTTTCAAACGTGTACAGTTCGCCCTGACATCATAGTACAGGACAAACATTGCAGGAGAAGACGATGACATCAATGCATGGCGAGGAAACGCTACTATTTGCAACCAGTTTGCAGCTGAGGGTTACCAAAGCCAAACGAACCCAGGAGAAACTGGTAAATAGTCTTAAGGTCAGTATGAATTTAAATAAAAATGAATATATAATTAAGATTTAAATATTTTTGAGTGTCAGAAATATTTCACTTTGTCTTTATCATTCATATACAAATATTTAATCTAACATAACAGAGTGCCATTTCACATGAAAAAAATTATTTAAGAGGAAGATTAGACCGTTTTTTAATATACAAATGAAAATGTACTTTATCAGATCAGGGTAATTGTACATGTAAGTGATCCATTGACCTTTGAGACCACAAGAGGGCGCCTGTTTCACACAACATTCGCAATATATTATTAGAATGTGAAGTGTTTGTTTTCTATATTTAGTTATGAGTCTAATTTTGAAGCGGAGCTCCAGAAAGTCTCATTTGAGGACACGGCGAACTTCACGGCTTCTTCCTTTCTTGCACTGCGCAGCTGCCGCCGCTGTCCCGCTTCCGGACTATGACGTCACGTCCACACCTTCTCTGTTTCGCAAACCGTGTCTTGGTGAGTGGCCACGGCGTGCAGCAGTGATGTCAACAACATTGGTCAGTGGGTCAGCCCCTTCGAGACACTAATCTGCTTCATTTATGCAGGTTACCGAACCCTTTTCTGGCTGAAAACAATCTGTTAAATCTCACGTGAACAGGTCGACATTAGTCCCGCGACATTCAGCGGTTTAAGGTTTGAATGGATAGGTAACTACTCACGGTTAGCTAGCACTAGCATGCTATCGGCGAGAGGGAAAACGAGGGTAGTGTTATTCAGCTGTCGGCATTGACCAGCAGAGAAACAGCAAATACAGATGTAACACAGGTATGTGCGTGAAAGTGTGGCAGAGTGTGGCTCATTTTGAATGAGAACTGCTTGTGAAATTATGAAACTTGTCCAAAATTAGAGAGCAAAACTGGTTAAACTAGGTGATGCTATCTGTGGTGTTTAACCCTGGATGCTGACTTTAAGGTAAGCAGGTCATGAAGAAGCTAGTGAAGCAAACATTGTCAGTTCTGTGTACGGCAATTAATCTGCTTCGTCATGAAACTGATAATGAGTTTGTACCGGATTGTCAAGGCTGTCTTTTATCACAATAAGTGATTAAATTAGTTTAATGCGTCTGTTTCTTCTTTCACATGTTAAGTCTGGTTGTGGGAGGCAGGTGACGTTTCTACTCGATTCAGTTACACAGTTCATCATTTACACAATCACAGAGCAAACAAAGAAAAGTGTGGACATTATGTGATAACTGTAAAATATTAAAGCCTAGTCACATGCTACTTTGTCGTGTTAAAGCTGTATTACACAGTATCTACAATCTGATTGGGTGAACTGTTTGATAACTTGGCTGGCACATTATTAAGTCACATTTTGTGTATCTTGCATTTTTCTTAAATTGAACTGTCTCACCATTTGTCCTCGAAATATTCGAAATGGCTGCTAATGTTTCTGCTTTGTCTTTTTTTTTTTAGAGAGAACGTAACAAACCATGATCACCACCGAGGCTGCGAGAGAGTTCCAGGTCAAGGAGCGAAGATACAAGGAGCAAGTGAAGAGATGTTTATCTTCAGCTTTGTCTGCAGACCTCAACGGGTGAGTGAGGCATGCTACTATGCAATGAACTGCAAAGTCCTTATCTATTATCAGCAAATGTCAAGATAAAAGGTCCTCGCTCAAACTGCAGTGTAAAAGACTGCGGTTAAAGCAATACAGGGCCGTCGAGTGGAAACAATCATTGATTTTGTGATCGCCTTCGGGTCAGGTGATCTTTTTTACAGTTTCCTTTCATAGGTTGTGAAGGCTCTGCAGAAGAGTTGTAGTACAAACATCTTTTGGATGTGGGGCAATAAAAAGAACGGCATCCATAAAAAAAAGTTCTAAAACTTCTTTTTATAACCACAATATATCAACCCTAAGTGGATTTTTGTCCGGTCAGTATAAGGAAAATCTATGTCATTCAAGGTCACATATTATTCTCCTCTTCAACAAGCTTAAATAAGTCTCAGAGCTCCCCAAAACATGTCTGTGAAGTGTCTTGTTCTAAATCCACTCTGATCCTGTATTTGATCATGTCTATAAACCCCTCTATTTCAGCCCTGATCAGAACAGGCTGTTTCTGTGTCTGTACCTTTAAATATGTAAATGAGCTGTGTCTGACCACACCCCTCTCTGGAAGAGGATGTGGCTTGGGCTTTCACACTCCATGCTCAGTGTTTACGTTGGATAGGCAGCAAGGCCCGGGAAACACTGGTAGCACCTGTTTTCAATTTTTTAAAAACAATGTAGTTCAGCACTTTCAAGATGGGCGGGGCTTACAACTCCAGCTTTGTCAACAACAACAGCGGAGGGGACGTCTGACTCGTCTTTTCAAGGGTACAATTGCGAGGCATAGAGCTGCAGCTGATGCCAGGACATGACTCCTTTACATTGTTTCATGTTTTCTTGGTGATATTCCCTTGAATTAAAGCAAATAATAAAGAACAATGAGTTATATAAAACACACCTTATGGACATTACTGAGGGAAGCAGTGCTTGACTTTCGTAATCTAGCAACAATGTTGTTGAGGAACGCTCTGAACAGAACTGTCTGTGGACACAGGCTCTAAGAGTGCAAAACAAGCCACCTAGCTGTGGGAGTGTCACCCACCTGGGGGAGGGGTTACTTCCCTTTGTGATGTCATGAAGGGAAAATCTCCAAACGGCCTGTTTGCGCACACATTTTCTGAAAAGTGGAGCAGGCAAAAGACGGAGAGGATGGACTTTTCTCATCATTGGGGGGTTTGTAGACAGAATAGGGACACATATTAGTGTTCAAAAACCATGGTGCATTTTACATAATGCGTGACCTTTCAATTCTGCAGCTTTAAACCTACAAGCAAGTGTTGTTAACCATCCACAGCCTTTTGCCAGTCTTTCCACTGTAGAAAAGAAATGTCACGCACCCACAACTATCCAACACAAGTTAAGGGTAGCTAAACCCGACTTGGAGGGGGGGGGGGGGGCAGGGGGTAAGACATGCCCACTCACTGCTTCCTGCCGTTATCAGCCACAACATGATACAATGTTTGCCCCACACACACAAATACACACATACACTTGATTCCCCACAGTTCGCAGAGTCAGGTGACGAGGCTTTTATAGGTTTGGTGACGTAGTAATTCACTCCTACGTCATACTGTACTCCACACAGCCGTTAGAGTTTTTCAAACGGAAGGGCAGACACTCTGCACATTTATAACACAATATTTCAAATTTCAATACTTTGTAATCAAATGTTGAGATTGGGACTTGGATTGATCCATAACACTACTTAATACTCAAATACAGAGGTTTACAGTTGAAAAGGTGGTTTTAGGGTTTAGTTACTCTTTAATGCATTTTTTTGTGAAGCGTATAAATTGAATTACCGATGATGAAAAGGATTTGAGAAAATGTTGTGCATTAAACGGATATAATGCCGCTCTCAGTCACAAAATAAACCCCAGGATTTATGGAATGTCACATTCTTTTGTAATAGTATTAAAAAAGCCAAGGCCGGAGTGTTTCCTCGCTTAATGGGATCAGGGGATCTGAAATATAAAACTTGGCACAGAGCAAAGTTACAGTAAAGTTCACCCGTGATGACTTGAGGCTCACAAGAGTCAAGCTCACGTGGATATGAGCAGTTCATTGGGTTTGAGCTGACAGAGATGTGAGTCTCCTTCTCGCATGAGTGGATCATCAATCCAACCACTTCTCATCAGAGGGATACAGTAATGGACACAGTACTGGGATTTGAACTCTTACCGCCCAATTCGCCTCAAGCTGACTGATTTCTGGGTCATTCAGATCAGACACAGCGGAAAGACAAGTAATGGTGGTAAAGAAGAAATGGACTGCCTCAGGACTGTGCTTGTGATACTTTGAAGTGGAAAAACTGGGACGTCGGAGTCATCTTTGAATTTCA